GGCTCTTATTATTTCGAGGTATGTTCCTTTAATACCTAGTTTATTGAGAGTTTTTAACATGAAGGGGTGTTGAATTTTATCAAAGGCTCTTTTTGCATCTATTGAGTTAATCATGCGGTTTTTGTCATTGGTTCTGTTTATGTGATGGATTATGTTTATTGACTTGTGTATGTTGAACCAGCCTTGCATCCCAGGGATGAAGCCGACTTGATTGTGGTGGATAAGCTTTTTGATGTGTTGCCGGATTTGGTTTGCCTGTATTTTATAGAGGATTTTCACAATGATGTTCATCAGGGATATTGGTCTGAAGTTTTCTTTTTTTTTTTAATTGTGTCTCTGCCAGGTTTTGGTATCAGGATGATATTGGCCTCATAAAATGAGTTAGAGAGGAGTCTCTTCAACTGTTCGGAATAGTTTCAGAAGAACCGGTAGCAGCTCCTCTTCACGCTCTGATAGAATTCAGCCATAAATACGTCTGGACCTGGGCATTTTTGGGTTGGTAGGCTATTCATTACTGCCTCAATTACAGAACTTGTTATTGGTCTATTCAGGGATTCAACTTCTTCTTGGTTCAGTCTTGGGAGGGTGGATGTGCCCAGGAATTTATCCATTTCTTCTAGATTTTCCAGTTTATTTGCATAGAGTTCAAAATACCTAGGAATACAGCTAACAAGGGAAGTGAAGGACCTATTCAAGGAGAACTACAAACTGCTGCTCAAGGAAACCAGAGAGGACACAATCAGATGGAAAAACATTCCATGTTCATGGATAGGGAGAATCAATGTCATGAAAATGGCCATACTGCTCAAAGCAATTTACAGATTTACTGCTATTCCCATTAAACTACCATTGACATTCTTCACAGAATTAGAAAAAACTATTTTATACTTCATATGGAACCAAAAAAGACCTCTCATAGCTAAGAAAATCTTAAGCAAAAATAACAAAGCTGGAGGCATCCCGCTACCTGACTTCAAAATATACTACAAGGCCACAGTAACCAAAACAGCATGGTACTGGTACAAGAACAGACACATAGACCAATGGAACAGAATAGAAAACTCAGAAATGACACAATACATCTACAACCATCTAATCTTCGACAAACCCAACAAAAACATGCAATGGGGAAAGGATTTCCTATTTAATAAATGGTGCTGGTAGAACTGGCTAGCCATATGCAGAAAACTGAAACTGGACCCCTTTGTTACACCTTATGCAAAAATTAACTCAAAGTGGATTAAAGACTTAACTGTAAAACCCAAAACTATAAAAACCCTATAAGAAAATCTAGGTGATACCATTCAGGACATAGGCACATGCAAAGACTTTATGATGAAATCACCAAAAGCAATGGCAACAAAAGCAAAAATTGACAAATGGGATCTAAATAAACTAAAGACCTTCTGCATAGCAAGTGAAACTATCGTTAGAGTGAACAGACAACCTACAGAATGAGAGAACATTTTTTGCAATCTGTCTGTCTGACAAAGGTCTAACACTTAGAATCTACAAGGAACTTAAGCAAATTTACAAGAAATAAAACAAACAACCCCATTAAAAAGTGGGCAAAGGATATGAACAGACACTTCTCAAAAAAAGACATACATGCAGCCAACACAAGCTTAACATCACTGATCATTAGAGAAATGCAAATCAAAACCACAATGAGTTCTCATGCCAGTCAGAATGATAATTATGAAAAAGTCAGGAAACAGCAGATGCTGGCAAGGCTGTGGAGAAATAGGAACACTTTTACACTACCGGTGGGAATGGAAATTAGTTCAACCATTGTGGAAGACAGTGTGGTGATTCCTCCAAGATTGAGAACCGGAATTCCCATTTGACGAAACTATCCCATAACTGGGTATATACCCAAAGGAATATAAATTATTATAAAGACACATGCACATGTATGTTCACTGCAACACTATTCACAATAGCAAAGACATGGGATCAACCCAAATGCCCATCAGCAGCAGACTGGATAAAGAAAATGTGGAACATATAGACCATGGAATACTATGCAGCTATGAAAAGGAATGAGATCATATCCTTTGCAGGGACGTGGATGAAGCTGGAAGCCATTATCCTCTGCAAACTAACACAGGAACAGAAAACCAAACACCGCATGTTCACTTATAAGTGGGAACTGAACAATGAGAACACATGGACACAGGGTGGGGAACAACACACACCGGGGCCTATTGGGAGAGGGTGGGGGATGGAGAACATTAGGGAAAAGAGCTAATGTGTGCTGGGCTTAATACCTAGGTGGTGGGTTGATAGGTGCAGCAAATCACCATGGGACATGTTTACCCATGTAACAAACCTGCCCATATACACCAGAACTTAAAAAAAAAAAGATATCAGAGGACAAATGGACCTTAGAGTCGCAACTCTCCCAAACGCAGACTCAGCCCCACACAGAGCAGAGGAGGAAAAGATAAAGTGGACTGCAACTGAAGCTAACACAACTTGATCACAAAAGACCCCAGAAACCAAGTCACAAGGCCAGTGGCGGATGGGGGAATAATAAATGCTAAAGAATGCTCAGCTCATGGTAGCCAGAGAAAATACTGGCAAGAGTGGAAAGTGTGAAGGCACCAAACATCAGTGGTACACGAGTGTGATCTCCGGAGGTAGGGGAGGCCAGGGCATGAGGGTCTGTGGTTATCAAAGGGAACTGGCTCTCTTAGGGTGCTCTTTTACTTTCTCTGTTACTCAGAGCAGGGACCCACCAGCCTCAACATGGACTTAAGCTTTGCTGCCGTGTGGTCCTTACACCCACTCTGCTCTGCTCATGTTTTTCTTTGTATTTTTCTCCAAGCATTTAAACGTGCAAACCATCCTTATCCTAAATGCAGCTAAAAGCTCCTGTGGGTGGAGTTTGCTGTCTTAAGCTTGTGAGTGGCTCAAAGTGTACCCCAATCAGCAGCCTGGGCACCCCTGGTGCTGTAGGAATGCAAGCGCCTGGGCCCACCCAGACCCTGGTGTGGGGGTGACCCACCCAGGCCTCTAAGAAGCCATCTAGGGGTCCCGCCCAGGCCTTTGAGAAGGGCAGCCTTGGCCAAATGGTCACACCTGTACCCGGGACAGGCCACACAACTTCTTTAGGGCTGGGGCCAATGGGAGCCTCCTGAGTGCCCCTCAACAGGGCCTGGAACACCAGCTCTTGTTAAAATGCAAATTCTGACTCAGCAGGTCTGGACTGGAGCCTGGGACTCTGCATTTCTACCCAACACCCAGGGGTGCCCAGGCTGCTCCTGGGACCTCACTTCCCGGTGGTGGTACCTTCACAGCACCAGCCACTAGCATGGAACTTGCACTGCAGCTCCTGAGGGCTGCAGAAATGGGCGTGTGGGTGGGGTGGGGGCTGGGACCTGAGCTTGTTGTCTGTCCCTCCCTCTCTCACTGGGGCGTCGAGGACACATGTGAAGGAGGCGAGGGGACAAGAAACAATGTTGGCATCTCCATCCTGGGAAGAGGCTGGGAAGTGACTCAGTCACAAAAAATAAACAACACCAGCTTTTGTCTCAGAAATTCACCCTGTTTGACTTCATAGATTCCCATCAGTCTGAAGGACCCGGGTTAGCCTGGGATCTCCTGTGGCCTTGGTGAGTGGATCCCCACTCCGCCTCCTCTTAGGATGCCTGGTCCCGCCATGCATGGCCCTGGGGGCCCAGGGTGACCTCGAGTGTCCCCAGCCAGGCTGCCCACCCCGATCTCAAGAAGAAACAGGGTGGGAGGAAGAGGAGCAATCGCAGCACCCACGGCAGAGAAGGCCACGGCAGAGGAGGCCATGCCTGGTTCAGCCTGGAGTTGGGGACCTGAGGAGGGGCTGAGACGGTCACCCCAAGACCCCCACTTCAGGCCAGCTCAGAGGGTCCAGGGTGGGAGTACTTGGGAGAGGGCTTATGGGGGTTCCTGTGGCCTTCAGGGAATCCCACCCTATTTGGATGTTACCTCCAGGCTGGTCCTAGGGGCTGGGCACCCCCACTCCTCTGGCCCCCCACTCCCCTGGCCCCCCACTCCCCTGGCCCCCCACTCCTCTGGCCCCCACTCCTCTGGCCCCCACTCACCTGGCTGAGAAACTCCATGTGCCCCACCCCAGGGGTTTCAGGTTCCTCCAGAGGGGCTCCATCCCCTTTCCTGCCCCGTCACCTGATGTTCTTTCCCCACCAAGACCTGGGCCATCTTCCCACAGCCTGGGACTAGCCTTCTGGTCACCTGCAGTGGCCGCCAGGCCAGGCCGTGGGCTGGGCTGGGGGCTGTCCCTGGGTGCCCAGGCCTCTCGGGGATCCCTGCATGCACCGGGCATGACATGAAGGGTGCCTTTCCCCACCCAGGGCCCACCGAACCTGGAGGTCACAGCCCCCTGAGGCCCTGCTCCAGGGTGAGGCCAGGCCCCTCCCTCTGCAGCCCCGCTCTGGCCTCTTCTCCTGCCCCCACTCCCATCCTGCCTCTTCCTGCCCTGGCCCTGTGTCTGTCTGCTCTGCAGGCCGTGCTCTGGGAGCCTGGCAGTTCTCCTAGGCTGTGCTCCAGGACTGGGGCCCATTACGTGGAGATGGACTGGCCACCCCGCTGTCTGGCAGGGCCACTGGGATGGGCGTGGTCATAACTGTTGCAGACCTGGGTCCGGGAGGACAAGCGCCTTCCTTCCGGGTGATTCACTTCAGAACCAGGCCAAGGTCAAAGGGCACCAGATGCTGGTCCCTCCTCAGGCACGAGGGAGACAGGAAGGGGCACCTGGGCCCCGAGGGGGAAGGGCTGCTGGAGTCAGGATGGAGCATGTGTGAGTGTGAGTGAGGGTGTGAGGCCTGTGTGCAGGCAGCAGGTCAGGTGCACAGGCCTGAGGAATGGCCCTGACTCCGCAGGGAACCTGCCAGATAGCTGGTTGGCAACACCCAGAGACGCCATGGGGCTGGCCTTCCTGCAGGAGCTCGGCCACTTGTGAAGCTGGACAGAGAGGACAGTGGTGGCAGCCAGACTCAATTCACATGTTTGCCATCAACACAGTTAAAATGTTTTATTGCCGCATGGCAGTATGGTTGGGTGAGGGTCCTGTATGTTACATGACGAATTTTTAAATGGCATTCCGTGAGCACAGAGGCTTTGCCTGCCAGCCAGCAAGATGCAGTAGAAAAGGTTAAGGGTCCTAGTCTGGTCCCGTGTGGGCATTGCCTGACCAGGTGGGGTCAGCACCAGGATGAGAACCCAGGCCTGCACCTGCCAGCTGCGGGGCTGTGTCCTTCCTCCACTTCCCTTCCCGCAGCCCCGGGAGACCCCAGCTCAGCGGGTTGGCAGGAAGGAGGCCGGTGTGCATGTGCCTGACGGGCCCCTGGTTGGCTGCCGGGCACTCTCTGCGGGACCCTGGCGCCAGCCCGTCAGAAGACAAAGCCTGGAGGCTATTCTTGGAGTGTGTGTCACGGCCCCGGGAGCGCCTTATAAGGCTCTGTCCAGGCTTAAGATGCTCTCTGAGAGCCAAGGTCTGCCCTGCCACTGGCCTGCGGCTGGACATGGGGCCACACGGCCACCTGGCTGCTCCTGGCCCGTTTCAACCTGGGGTCCAGACTCCCTCTTGTTTCCTGTGAATCTCCCCTAAGGTTTGAAGGAATTCGACCAACACCTTGGCCTGGGGGGACCTAGGAGAGAAGAGGGGGATGGCGCTCAGAGCTGGCCCTCGGCAGCCTTACATGGTGAGCGTCTGGTCCCGCTGAGCCTCGGCTTGGAGGATCTGTTGTGGGAGCTTAGCAAGGATTTATTTTTAGAAGCTCTTACTCCAACACCAGGGCTGAGCCCAAATAACACATGTATTTTAGTGGTTCAAAAACATAACTTCAATGCGGAGAAAATGCCAAACGGGTGAGCGCAGGGAGAGCCTTCCTGGGGCCACGGGCCTCCTCCTGCAGGTGGCCCAGGTGCACCTGACTAGATGGAGCGTCTGGCTATAATCCCGGGAAACGTATTCCTCCTCTCAGAGGGACTCGGGCTCAGGAGCACACACTAGTGAAGGGAGGCCAGGACCCAGAGTATGACCTCCCAGCCCTAGGAGGGCAGGGCAGCCCGTGGTTTGCTAGCAGAGCCTCGAGGCCTGGCACTGAGCCCAGCGTCCCCCGGAGCTCCCTCCTGCATTGGATCAGCAGCTGGCAGTCGGGTGGTCCAGCGGGCCGAGTTTTCCCCAGGACTGGGTGAGGGAGGCACTGCTAGGAAGTCCCCAGATGTAGTAGGCACCTGGAACAGCCGGCCCTCCCTGTCACATCATCACATCACGTCACCATCACCAGCAGCTTGTTAGAGAGGCCGACCCTCAGTCCCCATCACAGGGGTGGTAGATCTCCTCTTCCTCGTGTGGGTTCTGCCGTCCCAGCCCCATTCTCCTCTTCCTCACATAGATTCTGCCATCCCAGGCCCGTCCTCTTCCTTGTGTGGGTCCTGCCATCCCGGCCCCGTCCTCCTCTTCCTCACGTGGGTTCTGCCATCCCGGCCCCGTCCCTCCTCTTCCTCACATGGGTTCTCCTGTCCTGGCCCTGCCCTTCCTCCCCCTGCTCCGTGTTTAGCCCTCAGGTCAAGGTCATGGCCTGGACTCCGTCTCCTGAGCCCCCTCCCCTCAGGCAGGTCTCGGAGTCTCAGACTCTTCGAATCTCTGCATAGTGCCCTCTGCTCACAGCAGTCCCTCTGATGCCACCTCCAGGCTGGCCGAGCCTCACAACGTCTGACGGTTCCCCAGGATGGAGTCGGGGACAGGGCCCTGAGTTCCTCCTTGCTGAGCTGTTTCCCAAGCCCTGAGGCGTTGAGGACAGCGTGGGGCGGGAAGCCATGGCCACCATTTTGCCCCCACCCAGGTCCTGTCCTGCCTGGGACTCTTGGGAGGACTCAGTGTTCTCCTTCGAGACACCCAAACTTTACCACCCCCCATGCCCAGCCCTGGCCCACACCCAGGGATGCAGGGAACTGACCCCATCCTGGCCAGAGCAGGTACTCCAGGCGGGCCCAGAACCCGGAGCCGGTGCCGCCAAACCTGCATGCAGAGTCTGGCTGTCTGTCAGGAGGAGCCATCTGGATGCCCCCTGATGCCAGGACGGCTCTGCCCATCGTCTGCGTCCCTGACTCGAGAGCTTGAGCTCAGGGTGGGCCCCAGGAGGCTGGTGCTCTGTGCCAGCCGTGTGTGCACTCATGCAGCTGCCCTTTGCCTTCTTGCCAAGCTCAGGACCCTCTCCACCTGGGACAAAATCACCTCCAACCCCTGCGCTTCACTCCTCAATCACCTCCGCCTTAATAAACCTGAAAGTTCTCAGGTGCTGCCTACACGGAGGCTCCTGCCTGCAGACCTGGGGCCAGGCCCTGGAAGGCGCTCAGGGAGGGCTGGGCTGGCAGCTGCACAAGGGCAGTCTCATGGGGTGCTGGTCAAGCAGAAAATCCCCAGGGATGCGAGCTCATTTTCGTGGGAACTCTGAAAGTGAAAACATCACCTCCCCAAACTGGGAGGCCACCAGCCCCAGAAAGCCCTCCCCAAGCCCCCAGGGGTCCCAGCAGGGCCACAGGTGTGGGCAGGCCTGCAGCTCACTGGTCAGCTCCCCTCTGCTTCCTTCCAGGCCACAGCACTCCTGGGGGTCACTGGGGTCTCAGTGCCCCTCACCTGGCCAGGGTCTCACTGTCCCTCACCTGGCCAGGGTCTCCGTGCCACTCACCTCTTCTTTGCTGGAACATTCCACACATTCCTTCCCCGACAGGGCAGGGTTCCTGGGCTAAGGCTGGGGCAGGTGTGCTGGGCCTGGAGCTCTCCCTAAGGTCTCCAGTGGGTGTGGGCTCCTGGGATCTGCACTGTGTCCCCTGGGTCACCCTCACTGGGCTCATCCTAAAGGCGCCTCCCCCGCCCGCCCCTCCTCCCTCCCGACCTGCAGGTGCCTCACCTATAGTTTCTTCTTTCAGCCTCCCCACCCCCCAGCACTCACCATGAGCTGAGCCTGCTCTGAGGACTGGGACAGCCCCAGGACCCCACACAGGTGGGGCTCAGCAGCTCCAGATGAGAAACCCATGCACTCTGCCTGGGGAGTTCCGGCAGTGACGGGAGGAGGCACCGTCCTGCCCAGGGGGTTGAGAAGGCTGAGCCTTGAGTGAATGGCAGTCAGCGGACATCAGCAACTCCAGGTGAGAAACCCATGCACTCTGCCTGGGGAGTTCCGGCAGTAACGGGAGGAGGCACCGTCCTGCCCGGGGGGCTGAGAAGGCTGAGCCTTGAGTGAATGGCAGTCAGCGGACATCAGTGGAGGCGGACAGGACACTGAGGACAGAGTCACCCTCCCAGGGAGCCAGACATGAGGGGTGCCGGGGAGTAGGAGGGAGGGAGTGGGAGGGAGGGGAGGGGGTGAGAGGGAGGTGAGGGGGTGGGGACGGAAGGGAGGTGAGGGGATGGGGGTGGGAGGGAGGTGAGTGGGGGTGAGAGGGAAGTGAAGGGTTTGGGGTGGGAGGGAGGTGAGGGGGGCAGGAGGCAGGTGAAGGGGTGGGGGTGGAAGGGAGGTGATGGGGTAGGGTGGGGGTGAGGGATGTGGAGGGGTCTCCTAGGCCCTGGCCTGAGCTAGGAAGGGGCAGGGCTGGGTCAGGAAGCTGGGTCTGGGTGCCGTGGTGCATCCTGGGTGACTGTGGATGCTGGAGGAGGAAGAGTTCCTGCATTTGTGTCTGGGTTGGGACCGTCTAGGCGAGAGCTCAGTGTGAACTGTCCACCGTGCTCCCAGTGTCCGAGGCCCCCAGGGGCCAGGTGAGTCCCGAGGGGGATGTTGGCCGAGCAGAGTTGGGTGCTGAACCCCCAGACTCCCCTTGTTGACCACCCAGCCAGGAATCCCCAGGGCAGAAGGTGGGGTCTGCTCAAACATGGGGCAGGCGGTCTAGGGGTGTCTGATGCCCAGGCCTCTAGCCAGCAGGATGTGGACAGAAGTGGCCGCTGGGTGGGGCTGAGTGTAGAGGGCAGTGCCCATCCACAGTGTGGCCGTGCGTCCCATGGAGTGTGGGCCTGAAGGGGGGAAGGACCCCCTCAATACCTCAGGCCAGCGGGTCCCATTCCAGCTGCCACCCAGACTCAGCCTGAGGCCTCTTCACCTGCACCATCTTAAAGTGGATCCCCAGCCACCATGGGTGCCATAGCACCCGATTCCCGTCCCCGTGCCCCCACTTTGGGCTCACTCACATCCCAGTGGATAAAGGAGAGTCGGTGCCAGTAGGGCAGGGGACGGATCACGTGGGGCTCCTCGGCAATGAACAGTCGTAGGAGACGGGGCTGAAAGGAGCCTGTGCGGAGGGGCCTCGAGGCCGGGGTGCAGGGAAGACCCCAAGGAGGAGCCGTCCCGGGAGGAGCAGGTGCCCTGAGGGTGGGGGACCCCTGCCCAGCGGGACAGCCCTGAGAAGCCGGGGCCCAGCGTGGCAGGTGGACACGTCCTTCCCACCCCAGCCTCCCCCATCGCCTGTGACACCCACCCACACCTGTGGCCCAGCCACCTACACCCCAGCAAGTCCCACTGGCCTGTTCCGGTGGGAAAACCCACACAACCCCCTTATCTGCAGGACACTGGTGCCCACGCTTGTGGGAGGCCTGAGCCGTGGGCAGAGTGCAGAGGGTGGGAGCCAGTGGTTCCTGGGAGAGCTTCCTCTCCCCAACCCCCACTAAAGGTGTCAACACCCCATCCCCAGGAGTAGGTGCTTCCCTCCACTGCCCGGCCCCACTTTCCCACCCTGGGATTCCTGAGCAGCCTCAGTGAGCAGCAGACTCCAGGCTGGGCCCCCATGAGGGTTGAGACTGCTGTGCCTGCATCCCAGGAGCAAGGTGCAGGGTGCATCGGGGCTGTTCACAACCTGGTTCCACCTGGCTGTCTGACACCAACCTTGCTCCATGGCAGTGGTCCCAGTGGGCTGTGGTCCCTCCACGGGCTGTGGTTCTGTGGGCTGTGGTTCTGTGGGCTGTGGTTCCGTGGGCTGAGGTTACGTGGGCTGTGGTCCCTGTGGGCTGTGCTGTGGCCCTCATCTGCCCTCTGAGGGGCCTGGCTGAACTGCTGTCTCCTTGGACCCTGCGCTTGTCTGTGTCTCGGCCTTGGCTGCCACTCCCCTGCCATGCAGGCTCATCCCATGTGGCCCCTGCCTTGAAGTCGTCTTCACATGGAGTTGGCAAAGCCCCGGGAGGCTCTGGGCCCTTGTATCAGGGTTGGGGGGTATTAACCAGCCCCTGGGAGGCTCTGGGCCCTTGTATCAGGGTTGGGGGGGTGTTAACCAGCCCCTGGGAGGCTCTGGGCCCTTGTGTCGGGGTTGGGGGGTGTTAACCAGCTCCCTGGGAGGCTCTGGGCCCTTGTATCGGGGTTGGGGGGGTTAACCAGCCCCGGGAGGCTCTGGGCCCTTGTATCGGGTTGGGGGTGTTAACCAGCCCCTGGGAGGCTCTGGGCCCTTGTATTGGGTTTGGGGGGTTAACCAGCCCCCTGGGAGGCTCTGGGCCCACTCTGTTGGTAACTGAGTCAGAGCCCGGATTAGAAAAGGCTGAAACCACCCCCTACGACGCAGGGCCCTGGCGCCTTTGCCAGCTGTTTCGAATCAGTCCGTGGTGTCGACCACAGGGTGTTGCCCCAGGATCCCCGAAACCCAGTCAGCCTTCACTGTGGAGGATCAGGGCGGCCTTGAAAGGAGCTCTGTCCTCCATGGGGCCTTGGCCAGGAAGGCACAAAGGGGCTTTGTCCCCAGCCCAAGCCCGGAAGACCCTCCTCCAGCTGTGGCCCTCGGGACCGTCTGGCCGGCTCGTCCTTGGGGGGCCTTGGGGGTTGCACCTCCCCAGGCTGCAGCATGGGCCCCAGTCAGCCGCTGAGGTGCAGAGGATGAGAACTTCCACAGAAAAACATGTACGGACACCTTGGGGAAGCTTCCGGAAGAATGCACGCAGGAGGCTCGCCACACGCCCGGGTGGGACTCGGGTCCACTTCCCTGCTCCTGCCCCCACAGCATCATCCGATGTCCCTCAAAGCACTGAACCATGAGCGCATGAGCTGTGGGGACACACTGTCAGAGGTCACTGTCTGACCCGGCGCCCGGTGTCTGCCCTGGCCCATACGGTCCCATCGATCTGCCCCAGACGTGCTGTAGCTGTGTGTTGAGGGCCCCGGGTCCCCCTAAGTCCTGGCCTTGGGCTTCCCCGATACCACCGCGCTGGTCATCTCTTAGTCACCCTGACAATGCCCAGTGTTCACAGGACAGCCCCACGCTCTGTGGCTGGGTGTGGAGGCCCTCGCTGGCCCTTCCTGATACCTCCTCCTCTTCTTTTCTGCTCTCTCCCTCCTGCCCCACCCCTGGCTGGAGCTGACTCTAACATTCCGCTGGCATTCACCCTGGCACAGCTCACAGGCTGCATTGCTACCTCCGGGCTTTGCTGCCTGGTGAGGTGTGGGCATCCTCATCCTTCAAAGCCCAGTTCCCCAATCACCTCTTCCAGGAAGCCTCCCCTGACTGCCTGGGTGACAACGACTCCTCCCCTTCTGTGTGCAATGGAAAGAGGTGGCCTGAGGAGTCAAACGGTGTAAACCCCGCCCCGCTCTATTTGGGAAGCACCTGCTGTGTGGCAGGTGCTGTGCTTGGTGCTGGGGATAGCCCATGGGGAAGAAACACACAGAACCTGCCCTGCTCTCAAGGAAGAGGCCCTGGGGGCGGCCGGGGCAGAGACCCAAGGGAGAGACCCACACAGTGGCGTGAGGGCAGTGCTGATGGTGGGGATGTGGCTGGATGGCAGGTCAGCGAGGGCGTGTTGAGGTGACACTGGGGGTGTGAAGACCCAGGGGAGAGTGGAGGGACAGAGGGGACGCTGGGCAAGTGTCCCAAGGCAGAGGTGGAGCTGCGGGAAGGAGGCTGCCGGGCAGAGATGCAGAGACCTTTGTGGGTGCAGGTGGAGACCAGGAGGCCCCTCGAGGCCTGGGGTGTGTCCTCAGCTGGGAGGGCTGTGGAAGGATCTGGGCCTGCAGACGCTGGTGCAGATGGGAGGCCTGGGGTGTGAGTCCAGGGGAGCGGGCCTGGGCCAGGTGGACCGGAAGCTGGCACAGTGGTCAGGTGCTTGGAGGCTGCGCCACGCTGGGGACCTGGAGGTGTGTGAGGAGGTGTCTGTTGCGCCTGGGGCTGCCGCCTGCAGGGCTGGGTGTGTAGCCGTGCAGGGCATTGAGGTGGGTGGGTTCTGGGACAGTGGCTGTTCTCTTTGTGCAGTCAGGGGAGGTGTTGGTGCCAAGCTGCTGTTGGTGCCAAGGGGATCTGGGCGGGGGACTCACAGGGAAACCCTTGACCCACAGGATGCAGCGAGTTCCCAGGGACCCAGGGTGGCTTGGCCTGAGGACAGCACTCACTCCCAGATATGTGGGAAGCCCTTGGCACCAAGCCTCAGCCTTTTCATCTGTGAAATGGAGACATCGTCGCTGAACTTGCAGGCTGTCCCTGAGGGTGATGCCATCAGAAAGGGTGGGGGTCAGGGGTCTCACAGCAGGAGCTTAGCTGGTGTCAGCATTTCCTGGACCCGTTCTCAGCTCCGAGCGCCCGGCCCTGCCACCTGTGTCCAAGTCTGCACTGTGCCCACGAGGCCGACAAGGCCACAGACAGCCCCACACATCTCGGACCCCACCCTGGCACAGGCCTTGCGTGGGGTGGGCGCTCATTCTAGGGAAGGAGTAGTAACTCTTGGGTGGTGGGGTGGTTGCCATGGAAAGGGGCAGTAGCACCCAGGTATTGCCATGGCAACCGTTAACTGACATGTCACACGGGAGGGCGTGTCTCATGGAAAGCTGCCTCTGCCCCGCCCTGTGTTAGCCAGTCCTCCATGTGGTCCAGTATCTGAGCCCCACCTCCTGCCTCAGATGCTCCCGTCTGTCACCCCATTACCAGGGTGGCACTCCAGGTCCTTTCCAGCCGTCACGGTCCTGACATTGCCGCAACGGACGCTGCCACACAGGCTGTGCGCTTGTGCGTACCCAGGTCCTCCCCTCTCTGGGATAAACCAGGCACGTGGAGGCCACCCCATTTTCCGTCCACCAGCAGTGGAGGAGTTGCCCAGCCTCGCAGGAAAACGTCTCTCATGCCAGCAGCAGAGCATCCTGTTCAAGTTTTTAAGTTTTCTGCTGCGGCTTCCACAGCAGACCGTTATTTCTCTCCGTCCTGGAGGCTGGACGTCCCAGGTCCCGGTGTGGCAGGCCTGGTTCCTCCCAAGGCCTCTCCTTGGCTTGTGGGCGGCGTCTATTCCCTGGGTCCTCGCAGGGTGGTCCCTCCGTGTGTCTGTGTCCTCCCTTCCCCTTAGAAGGACCCCAGGCAGGCTGGATCAGGGCCTGCCCTAAGGAATGAATTTTACCTTAATCACCTCTTTAAAAGCTGTCTCCAAATACAGTCACCTTCTGGGGTCCTGGCCATTAGGGCTTTGATGCATGGATCTGGGGGACACCACTCAGCCCGTAACAGCCCCCACCCTCTGCCTACCTTTACCATGGGGCTGAGCCCAGCCCTGCAGGAGTCCCCTGGCTTGATGTCTGCTGTGGCCACGGTGACCCTCAGGCTGCTCCAGACACACCTGTGCTTATCTCTGCCTGGCCCTGGGGCTTCACTTCCCGAGGGGTTGGAGAGAGAGAGACCTGTCCCTCACAGCTCTCCTGGTCTTGCCCACTGCCGAGCCCAGAGGGACATCCTCCGCCGTGGGCCTGGGCTCAGGTTGCTCAGAGTTCTCCAGCCCCTCCTCCAGGTGCACTGCTCACAGCACATGTACCCACATCCCAGTACCCCAGGCCTCCCTGGGCTCCGTGGTCCCGGAGGGTGCCACCCCTCAGCCAGTACTGTGGGAAGAGCCTGGGGGGATTCCCGATCTCCACCCCGCCCAGCAGCCACCCCAGGCCGCAGTCTGCTGACCATCCCCAGCTCACATTTCTCACCAGCTGACATGGTGTCCTGGCCTGGCACCTGCCCAGGGTCCCACCCGCAGAGGAACCTGCCTCTTCCAGGTTGGTTCCGGGCTCCTGGACTGGTCACGCGCTGTTGACGTGCAGTTGTTGTAGCTTTTTTCTTGTGTGTGGGAGCAATGCTTTTCCCAGCTCCACCTGGAATTCCGCCAGGGACGGGTGCAGCGTCCTAACCCCACCGTCTCTTGAAGAACTCAGTGCTCGTCTGGCCCCAGATGGACAGACACCAGACCCAGGATTTCAAAGGTGCATCTGTCACAGACCAGGCTCCCAAAGGAGACGTCTTTTTACGATTTTGTTTTCTGACTGGAGGACTGTTTGGAAGTTGCCCTCCCACCTACCAAGTTGCTGGCAGCCCAGCCCGTGCTGTTTTCAGTGGACCCTTTTTCAAATGTCTTCACAGGCTCCTGGGAAGCTGAGCTGAACAGTGACCTCAGCCTTGAGCAATTCTGAGGATGTGTTTGCTGAGGAAATCATTAAACAGGGAGATGAGAGCATTCAAACCCCCACATGCCAGGCTCTGCGGGAGGCTGCTTGTCCTTGTGGCCTCGGGCCAGGTGCCCCAGTATCTGCTGCCCTTGATAGACACTTGTCTGGCCTGAGTCCTCAGGTACCATACACGAACACAGTTAGGGCAGCCGGGGTCAGCCCAGGCCTCTGGGAGCGTTGAGTGGAGGGGCCACTGGCCAAGCACAGTGGATGCAGGGTGCCCAGGACCAGGCGTCACCTGATGGTCACCTGAGGGGACCTGCTCACTCCGCCCTGCTGCCCTGCTCACTGCTCTGGGGCCCAGCCAGGCTGGGAACCAGGGCCTCAGGGTGGAGGGGGGTCAGGGTTCAGGGCCTCAGGATGGAAGGGTGTCAGGGTCCAGGGCCTCAGGGTTAAAGATGGTCAGGGCCCACGGCCTCGGGAGGAGGGTGGCCAGGGCCCACGGCCTCG